ATTTTCCAGGCAAATTTGCCTGGAATACGGTTTAAGGGATAATAGGCAATTCAAGGATTCTGAACTCTTACTAGTGGTTTATCTATCTAAGGTTATTTGCTCTTGTTAAAAGTTCTGTAATTCACACTAAGCCTAAAATCATCCAACTAAACTTTGATAATATACGCTTCGGATTTTGATTCTAAAAGAAATATATACAAAATATATAATAGCTAGGATAGCAACATGATGTAGCTGCGCTCAAATCAGGAAAGTAATATATGAATTCTTTTGAACATTTTTTACTATTAAATACATAATAATATCCCAAATTTTTAGTTTTTGAAAATTAATTAGTACCCAAAATTGTTAATTTACCATTTAATTTGACAATGTTGACAGCTAATAAATATTTCAACAAAAAAAGTACTATTTGCACAAATTATAGTATGTTTACTTATTTTATTTAGCTCATTTATTAATTTATATTTATATACTAAATCTAAATTAATTTCAATTATATTAATAGTATTACTGCTACTTTTATAATTTCTGGAACTATTGACCGAATGATACTCTAGCTGATTTGATTAAGTTTGAATTTCGGTATAATAGATTCAATAAAATTACAAAATTGTACATATTCACGCAAGTACATATGTAATTTTTATATTAATAATTTTATAATAAATTACCCAGAAATTTTCTTGATGGAGCAATCTCTAAAATAAGTTGTATTAATATATATAAAGTATATAAATTTTGTCCAATCAAATTATAGATTTGCACACTTGTCATTCTAGATTGTAGTTAACTATACAATTCATAATTTCATTACTACATTCCTTGTACAATAAATTATAGCACTAAAAAAATTTGACTATAATACTGGCCCAATAAAAGTGGGCCATATATAGGCTGGGCCTATAATTCAATAGGCCAGGCTGGACTGGGTCTATTATTCAATGAACCAGGCTAGGCCAGGTTTTGAAAAAAATTAATCAGACTTACACTCTAAATTTTTTATTAGGCTAGACTGGGCTAGGATTTAAAATAAGCCTGGTACAGCCTATACTTTAATTTTTTTATTAGATTAGATTTGGGCTGGGTTGATAATTTATTGGGCTAGGCTTGGTTCTAGCTTAAACCAGCCCAACCTGGCCCATTTCGGACTCTATAAATAAACCAATAATCTTAATAGTTAATTAATATAATCAATATTAAGAGTAGAAAGTAATATTAATCATTTTCATATAATCTGTATAGTAGATTAAAACTTTATATAGATAACAAAAGTATGTTACTGATAAAATTTTTTAAAACAACAATTAATTTTTACCAAAATTTTGTGGCTTGTAGATATAAACCCTATTTATAAATAGTCAAACTTTTAGGAGTGATATAATTTAAAAATATATTTTTATATATTGTAAATTTTTTCTAAAATATCTTAAAATTTTCTAAATAGTTCAAAGTGCCTGATTCTAATTAGCTAATATTATATGATTTTTGTAAACAATTAATCTTATCTAAACTTTAAAATAATTATATTTTGTTAAGTTTTAATTCTAATTTAATAATTTTGTTATTGTTAAAATCAAAAAAACTACTCTACAATTTTATTTTTTTGTTTTTGTTTTAGCAATCCTTTTTTTATTATTTAAATTAGTAATGAATATCTTTATAAAGACTAATCTATATAGTAATCATTTTTTATCTATACTAATAAAGAGTCACTTAGTTATTTAAACAAAAATCTATAAAATAGATTCAGCAAAGAGGTTTCAAGTATAATCTGCCTAAGTAGCATATATTTATCTTATCTGAAATTCTTAACTTAATAAATTTTATACTCTAAAAGTCTATGATAGATATCTACCAACCTTGTTAGAATTACTGCTCTATAATATATTACTAATCTGAAGAAATATTTCTTAACAAAAAATTCTAAAAGCAAAAAATTCTAAAAGCAAAATAGAATAAAAAGAAATATAAGAAGAAGAATATTTTAAAATAAAATAGATAAGAAAACAACTAAACTAATAAAAGAAATCTAAAATATATATATAAAACTAAAAAATCTATTTATTATATTAGTATCTGCTAACTAGAATATTTATCTATATAGTTATAGTTATTATATAGAACTCAGTTAACATATAAAAGAAAATTTAACTAAATATATTTTGACTTGTGCTTAAGGCCTAAAAATTATATGCATATAATTTTTAAATTGCATATCTCAAATTCTTTTTATTATCCAAACTTTAAATCTATATTTTATTCTAAAATATAACAAATATATTGATTCTATGTGTTCTTACTATATTATCTTGTTTAATAGATATATAAGTTCTTAAAAACCATTTAAGTTTCAATATACAGAGCTATATTCACAAATAAAAAATAACAGCATTGTTAAATCACACCACTAGTATTAAACACCATATTATAGTCATATGATTTTATTTATTAGTTATACAAGATTTATTAATTGATTTATTATATTGCAAAGCTTTAATATTTAATATAATATAAAATAATTCAATGTCGATATAATATTAAGGATTTTGATTTGCACAAGTTCGTGCATTATAACCTTTTTTATAACAAATTCTATATTGCCTTGATTTATCCTTGCATTCACAATTTTGACCAGATTCAACTTTTATATAAAAAAGAGAAATTATGAATATACGCATATATGCAATTTGTATGAAATCAAAACTTAAAAAAAAAACTACAAATATGCATACATATATATTAAGATATATGTATCTGCTTTTTTAAAAATTGTTTGATCAACCTCGGACTTAACGATCAGATCTTCATTATCGCTATCTTCAGATCTTTTCCTTTTCTTTCTTTGATCTTTAATATTCATAATATCATTGAAAACTTTTTCTCTCTTTGATTTTCATTCTTTCGTTTTAATACCAATTAGATTACTGATAGTATATGCAAATTCACTTAAATCATCACCTTGTTCTATTGTTTGACCCTCATTTTTTGCAATTTTATTTTCTATTTTGTTAACAAGTTTCAAATATATTTCATAAAGCTTTTCTGCTCTGTCTGTAGAAATAGCTAAGTTAAGTACTTTTTTCATTATTCTGAATCTTTTCTCCTATTGCTGTTTAAGCATAAATTCATGATAAACTTCTTGTGTAAAAACATGTCATCCATGAATACTTTTCAGATATAAAAATTCAATTTGTTCATTGTTTTCTAAAGTACCATAATCTTCATTTAAAATTGATACAATTGTAGGCTCATTTGCAAGTGTTGAATCTACTATTAAATTAGTATACCAATGTTGAGAAATAAAACTAATATGAAACTTTGCCTTTGCTGAAACAAGCATAGTTGAGAAAAATGATGACACACAAGACCACAATTAATTAATACAAAGATGTGTAGTATTGTTGTACAAAATGATAAAATTTTTTGATTTTTTGTCTATAGAATAAATGCTCCAAATTTCATAAATTCTGGGTAGTCCAATTTCAACAATTAAATCCTCAAGCTCAATCAGGCTTGTATCAAAAAGGTTTCAGAGAATATATTATCAGGTGATTTAGTATTGGTAGTCTACAAGAAAAAATATAAGTATTTCTTATGTTTTAATTACAATTTTTTTAATATTAATATTAACCTGCTGTATAGCTTCTTCATTTAAACTAATCATGTTGTACCGGTAATATATACTGCAGTTCATCTCATTTTGTTAAAGTTTTATGATCGCTGGTATTAAAAAATATTGATACATTTCATCAATTTTTTTAAAATATTGATCATGATATCCTTCTTCTTGGCTTATTGGAAACTTGCTAATCGCATCATTTAAATTTACGAACTAACTTTTCTTTACTAACAACTTTTTAATAGTATGATCAAGTTCTAGAAGAAATGATGTTCCATTTACATTACTTTTAATTATACTATTGTAGGCTTCAATGCGTTGCATGCTTTGAACTTCCATATTAAAAGCATGATGTATGAAGCATAGAGCCCATGCTTCTCTATATAGATATAGCTGATGCTGCAAGTAATCAGCTGCTTCAGTATATTCCTGTACTAATGTAGTCCACCTTTTATTAAAAATCCTCTCAACACTGCTATTACGTATGAAACAAAAAGCTGCAAAAAATTTTCAACATTTTTCACCACGAAACTTACTAAAAAAAATGTTTTTCTAGGTTTTTACAGATGTGAAAAAGACAGAAATAGTGTTGTGTTGATGGCCAGATACTTTTTGCCACTGCTATCATTGCGGGATCAGTGTCTGTATAAAGTAGAGATGTGATTAATCCACTTGTTGCTTTTTTAAGGCTTTCAAAAAACCAAAAAAATGTATCCTTAGTTTTGTCAGATAATAGTGCAGTAACTTCTAGTCATGATTGATTATGGTTGTTAATCAAAATAACAACATACAAAATTATTGAATATCTGTTTGTTTTAGCTATTGTGTCAAGTAATATTACATCAGAGAAATGAGCCCATAATTGTTGTTGGCTTGGCCTCATCCAGCAGAGACTTATGAGGTGATTGTCTTTGCCTTCAAAGTATGTATCTACATAGAGCATTAGATTATTCTGCTTTTGCTTCATAAGCTCAATATATATAGAACTAGCATCACTAGTAACTCTTTTTTCACGTCTAATTGCCTGAACCAGATTATAAACATTACAAGCATAGATATACTTTGTTGGGTTTTTATACTGTAGGACTTCAATAATAGCTCTAGTGTGTACTCCAGAAGCTACAAGAATTCTTACTTTATCACGAATTTCTGGCAAAAGTTTACAGTAACAAGAGGCAACTATATCAATGTTCTCAACAAGCTCATAGTTATGTTGACTATCAACCTTCGTAATATAGACCAAATTGTCTGTCTTCTGGTAATACGTATTTACATAGAATTTGCAATTTTCTGTATGATGCTTTTTGTTGCAGCCTTTAATTATATGAGCTTCTTTTTGTAGAACATGCACTCGACCTTTTATATATACATAAACACGTCATTGGAGAAGTTCATCTTTTTTATTTATTTCACTGTGTGTAATTGTAAAAGCAAAACCATATTCCAAGTCATGATTGTCAAGATATCTTAAAAAAAAAAAAAAAAAAATGTATCATATCACGTTAATAACAACACAATTCTTTAATTTTATAGTTTATAGTTACTTAGTGAGTTCTTTCCAACTCTTAAAGTCTATTTTCTGTGCAACTAGATATAAAGGCCCCGATTCCTCAGTATTTTCATCATCACTATTTTCCTTAACATTTGGTGGTTCATTTAAGCAAGGTAATTCTATGTCTGTTGCTTGTAATCTTTCATTATAAGTTTCTAACTGGTTAAATTTATCTTCTAATATATCCAAATAAAGTGGTTTCTCAACAACTATTAATATGTCTTTTTGAGTTTCACGTATATTTAACTAATTAAAATCATCACTTGATTCATAGGTATCAATGATACTACTATAATCATTCTCAATATCAAATAATGAGAATAAAGAGAGTTTTGTATCATTAAAATAAGGTTGTTCCTCAACTTTCAGGTGTCGTGATTCTCCTACATCAGTTTTCCATTGAGTTTCATGTATATTCGAACAATTAAAATAATCTTCGGGTTTGTAGGTATCAGCGATACTGTTACAACCATCTTCAGTATCAAATAACAAAGGGAATAAAGGGAGTTCTGTATTGTTAATATTTGATAAGTCGTTTATTATGAATCACACTAATCTTTTTCTATTCCTAGTTCTAGAGAGAAAATTAAGTGCAAAAAGATTGACAAACTCAAAAATTGTTATTTATAAGATCAGATCTGATTACATCATAATTAAATAGTTAATTTGATAAATGATGAGCATATATGTAAACAAGTGGTGTTTAACACCACTAGTTTGATATAAAATTTTCGAAAAATAAATTACTTTCTATGTAACTATATATTTGTTGTATTTATATTATAGAGTCACTGAATATAAAAATAGTAAACAATACTAATCTTTTGACAAAAAGTAACTAAATTCTCTACTTTTTGTCAAAAATTAGTTTTAAAAACATCAAAGCAGTGAAGAAGATTAGTCTTGTGAGTTTTTAACTAAAAAGAGTTTTTCTAAGAGTATATTATGTCCTTCTATCTCCAAACCTCTTGAGTTTTCTTTTTTACTGCTATTTTTAGAGACTTCTCTGGTTTGAATACCAAATACAAAAGAGAATCCACCTATCGAAGAAGAAGAGAACTAAACTTGACCTCTTTGCAAACTGTCCAAAATATATACTTCTTAGTGTATTATGTTTCAAGACTTCATTGACAACAGTTTGTATCAAAAAACTTCAAATTGTTTGATGATTTCTGGTCTTGAGTTTTTAACTTGCTTTTGATAAAAGTTGGTACAAGTGATTATCAGAAAGAGTTGCTCTACAATTTTATTTAGAAATATAAAAACAATTTTCTTAATAAAATTTTGTTTAATTTAAAAAAATAAAACAAAATATTACTAATTTTATATATAATTTACAAATATTATTCTCTATTCTTAAGAGTCAATACTTATATGATAAAAAAAAAAAGTAATAAAATAATAACAAAAATGTAATTTGATTATTAAGAATCTTAATGATTAAAATAATAAAACAACAATAAATACAACAATATAACAATAAACTTATAACAAGTGAAAAATCAATTCTTAATACTTCTATATTAAAGACATTGAAGTCTAAAGCTTTATTTGAAGAGCAAAAAGCAGCTCTTTT